CCCTAACCTCATCCTCCCAGCCTCCTTCCTGGGGAACAACAACTAGAATCCAGAATGCCTGCCTTGCTTGTCCGTGACAGACCCTCCGCAGCATTCCCCACAATGGCTGGGGCCAAGGGGTGCGACGGAGGTGAAGGGTCTCAGCACGAGGCTGCGTCTGCAGTTGTTTCCGTGGGTGGGGGCTACTCACCGAAATGCAAGGTCTCGCTCCAATCGCTCCAGATGTCACTGTGCCTATGGCGTACTCGGATCTGCAGGCTGTGCTCTCCGTTGGACTCAGAGCTTGGCACCAGGAATACGTTTCTGTCTTGTCCTTTTTGGACAATCTGGAACAGAAAATGGGTCTGTTGGGAATGGTGGTATGGAACGTATTGTGTCCCCCAAAATGTTCATCAACTTGGCTAGGCCATGATTCCCAGTATTGTGTGGTTGTCCACCATTTTGTCATCTGATATGATATTCCTGTGTGTTGTATGTCCTAACCTCTATGATGTTAATGAGGCAGGATTAGAGTCAGTTATGTTAATGAGGCAGGAATCAATCTACAGGATTGGGTTGTATCTTGAGTCAATCCCTTTTGAGATATAAAAGAGAGAAGCGAGCAGAGAGGAGCGGGACCTCATACCACCAAGAAAGAAGAGCCAGGAGTAGAGCACATCCTTTGGACCCAGGGTCTCTGAGCTGAGAAGCTCCTAGACCAGGGGAAGATTGATGAAAAGGACCTTCCCCCAGAGCCAACAGAGACAGAATGCCTTTGTCTGGAGCTGGTGCCCTGAATTCAGACTTCTAGCATCCTAAACTGTGAGAGAATAAACTTCTGTTGGTTACAGCCACCTACCTGTGGTATTTCTGTTATAGCAGCACTGGCTAGCTAAGACACCCCTGAACCAGAGAACATGACCCGTTTTGGAGAAATAGGGTCTTTGCAGGTGTTATCACTTCAGTTAACGAGGTCATTCTGGAGGAGGGGGGTCCTAATCCTAATCTCTTCTGAGTGGTGTCTTAGAAAAGGGGAGAACAGACGGAGATAGGGTCACACAAGGGGAGGGCACCATGTGTCAAGGAAGGCCCAAGGCCACAGAAGCTGGAAGAGAGAAGGAAGGATCCTCCCCTAGAATCCACAGAGAACAGGGCCTTCCGCACACCATGAATTTAGGCTTTCAGCCTCCAGAACTGTGAGAGAACCGATTTCTGTGCTTTAGAGCCACCCACTTTGTGGTACTTTGTTATGGAGGTGCCAGGAGACCGAGACACCCTTCACCTCTCCCCCAGGCACTGCCTGGTGACAGCTGCTCAAGGGATAGGTGTGGGCCTGGGGAGGGGCCGGGCCAGCCCACCAACCCAGGAGCTGAAGAAGACAGCAGAGATTCTGCCGGCAGCCAGGGAGCAGCCGCGCTGGCTCCCCCAGGCCAGGCGATGCGTGGGTGTCCCTGTGGGCAGTGAAAGGCCACACATGTCAGTTGTAAAAAGTCAGGGGCTCGGGCGGATCTCCAACATCACCTGGGCAGCAGGTGCGCCCCAGTGAGGAAACACTTCTCCCCAAAGCACCTTCCGACAGCTTCGAGTCCTCTTTCCCTGTCTGCTTGCCACTCAGCGTGTGCTGCATGAGGCCATGGAGCCGGGAGACACCCAGACCTCGGCCTCCCCCACACCTGGCTACCACCTCCCAGGTGAGCCAACGGGCTGCGCTTGAGACGGGGCAAGCGTGGTCGCCCTCTAGTGGCCAGAAGGGTTCATCTCAGGCTGAACGCCCGTCCAGGGAGCTGGGTTTGGAAGAAGGACTTCGCTCGGTCCATGATGTGCATGCTGTTATGGATTGAATTGTGTCCCCCCCAATTCCAAACATGTGTTGTAAATCCTAATTTCTAAACCGGTGGATGTAATACCATTTGGGGAGTGGGGTTTTCTTTGTTGTGTTAATAAGGCACTATTAGCGTAGGGTAGGTCTTAAGCTAAACATTTTTGAGATATAAAAGGAGCAGATATAAAAGCAGCAAGCAAGCATAGATGGGGAGCAATAGATGTCACATGAAGATCGCCCAGGAACAGAAGCTGAAGAGAGACGACATTCCCCAGAGCTGCCAGAAAGAGAACTTTCCCCTAGAGATGGCGTCCTGAATTCATTTTGTGTATGTGTGTGTGTTTTAGATGAGGGTTTACAGAGCAAATTAGTTTCTCATTAAACAATTAGTACACATATTGTTTTGTGACATTGGTTACCACCCCCATGACATGTCAACACTGTCCCCTTCTCAACCTTGGGTTCCCCGTTACCAGCTTTCCTGTCCCCTCCTGCCTTCTCGTCCTCGTCCCTTGGCTGGTGTACCCCATTAGTCTCGTTTGGTTTTACGGGCCTGTCTAATCTTTGGCTGAAGGGTGAACCTCACAGTGACTTCATTACTGAGCTAAAAGGGTGTCTGGGGGCCATACTCTCGGGGTTTCTCCAGTCTCTGTCAGGCCAGTAAGTCTGGTCTTTTTTTGTGAGTTAGAATTTTGTTCTACACTTTTAACCAGCTCTGCCCGGGACCCTCTGTTTGTGATTCCTGTCAGAGCAGTCCGGTGCCCTGAATTTGGACTTGTAGCCTCCAAAACTGTGAGAAAATAAATTTTTGTTGGTTAAAGCCACCCACTTGTGGTGTTTCTGTTACAGCAGTGCTAGGAGACTCAGAGGGGAACCAACAACATGCGTTGAGTCGGGGATGGTGAGAGACAGACACGTGTTCTCAGCAAGGCGCCCAGTGATGCTCACGGTTAGGACCTCACTGCTGAGTGAGCCTACATGGTGGTAAAGGGACATGGCAGAGAAAGGAGAAAATACTTACGGGGTCCTGGGATCTGCCCTGGAAAAAAAGAGCGAAGGAGACCAGATGAGTGACCTATGTTTCAGCCTGGCACACAGAGTGCCCATCTGGGAATCTTCCTCAGATGGGCAAGGCTGCTTTGGGGGTATTGATGAGTGATTAGGGGCATTGAAGGGGGTATTGATTCCATGCCAGTGAATTCCCAAATGTGTAGGAAGGAGGATGTCTCAAAAGTGACAGCCAGCCATGGCCCAGCATGGGTCTATTGGAAGCATACGGAAGCCCTGTGGAGATAGTTGGGCTCAGCTAACAGGATCGGGAGCTGACTGTGCAGGAGGACAGAGGTGATCCTGGGCCTGAGGCTGGGCTGTGCCCTGGACAGTCGGGCTCCGCACCCAAGAGTGTGAGTAGAGCTGGGGGACGACTGTTAAACATGCCGGTCCGTTAGGGTTACAGCCCTCACTACAGAGGAGATGGGGTGCTAGAGGCCAGGGTCCCCTAACAGAGATGCGGCAGATGAGAGGGAGGCACCCGGGGAAGCTGGGGAGCAGCAGTGTGGGCAACAATGGGGGGCGGAACAAGGGTGGCTGACTGAGGGGCTGACCGAGGTCACCTGTGCGAGGTCACCTGTGTGAGGTCACCTGTGGATGTACTGTGAGGTCCCCTGAGTGATGTCACCTGTGCGAGGTCACCTCTGTGAGTGCTGTGTGGTCACCTGTGTGAGGTCACCTGTGGATGTGCTGTGAGGTCACCTGTGTGAGGTCACCTCTGTGAGTGCTGTGAGGTCACCTGTGTGAGGTCACC